TGTACAGAACACACATTCCAGTGGCAGGATTGTAAATCAATTAAATTCATTACATCACGTCTGTATCCCACCCCCTAAGAAACCTCATGAGCTGTTGTATTTTTAAGTATATAATAAGTCTGTATGTGCCTGAACGCAAGAGTTTTTGTACAATATATGGAAATTGTTCCAAAATTGTTCTAGTGTTCATATGAAGATTTCAGAATTCTTGTTTTTTGGTTTGTGTTTACTTAGTGTATGTGAGAATCATTCCATGTATTTAAAAATGTAACATCCCCTTCCCCTTTTGTTGGGGGTGAGAATGTACATATACCCTTCAACTTTTAGATTGCATTAAATATTACTTGTATACATAAGCCTTCTTTATATAACTATTTTCTGAGGATTAGTAATGATCCAGGCTACAGGCTCATAAGGCAGAAAACAGGCAGAACTGACTTTTCCTAAAATAGTTATCATAATACCGAAGAAATCTGGTGGCAGTCGTCATCCATCTCATGAGTGTAACAAAAAATCTAAAATGGCAAACAGACTCCAACATTTGAAGAGAAAGTTCTAAGCCTGTCATATATAATCAGATATTTCACTAGAAAGTGAAATATGAAGTGTCTGGCTGACGATCTTAAAGTGTTAATACTGTAGTTCTGAAAATACCAAGTGCCATGTTCTAAAATATATAAGTTTGGTACAAGAAGCCAGTTCATATTATTAGCATCAGAAGTTAACATAGTTTATGGATACAGGCATACCTCGCAGATATTGCAGGTTCGGTTCCAGACCTCCGCAAAAAAGCGAGTCACACGAATTCTTTGGTTTCCCAGTGCATATAAAAGTTATGTTTACACTATACTGTAGTCTGTGTGATAGCATTATGTCTAAAAGAACAATGCAAGAACATTTCGAGAATTACCAAAATGTGACAGAGACACGAAGTGAGCACGTGCTGTTGGACTTGCTTGACCCAAGGTTGCCACAAACATTCAATTTTTAAAAAACCATAATATCTGTGAAGCGCAATAGAACGAGGTATGCCTGTACAGTGCGGTAATGAAATTTAATCTCAATATCTACACCATCATAAAAAATTGTAGAATGACAATAATACATTACGAAAAAATTCAGTCAAAATAACTTTAATCTGCCGTCCTTCAACGTTAAGTTGTTTCCATACTTGTGGGTCATCTTTTGCTTGGAAGTCGTAGTTACATGGTATAATTTTGAGAGCTGTTTCCATTAATTTCTTGAGAGCTCTAACATAACTGTCTTGGGTCTAATTGCAGTCCATATTTCTTGCTTACTC